AAAGCCCAAACCACTGGAAACTCTCGAGGACCAATATGCCAGTTTCTTTTAACAGATACGTTGTAAGGAAAATAAAAAGATGGAAGGGGAACCTGTAGATTAAAAGTGACTTAAAAAAGGGGGGGGGAAGACTTAAAAGGCATATAAAGTCAGAAATAATAAGAGGCAAAACTAAAGTGACAGCGATAAAACCGTAAAGAGAAGTAAGAAAGTTATTACTATAAAAGTCAGGGTAGTAGGTAATTTTGGATGGAGGGAGAGAGCTATAATTGGAGTGAGCTACATGGAGGGGGTTCTGGGAAAGGCTGGCAAAGTTCTGGTTTTGGTCCTTAGAAGATGGTCACAGGGGAGTTTGCCTTATACTAATTCACTAAGCTAAAACAATAAATTAAAAAGTTGTTGAAGGAATGCACATTATTGGGGCAGTTGGGGAAACCTGAATATGGACTGCATATGAGGTAATGTTTACGTAAACAAGGAAATGTTACCTTTCCCCAGTGTGATAGTGGTACTGCGATTATATTAGTGAATGTCCACGTTCTTTGGAAATACATGCTGAATTAGGTATGGGTGGAAAGTGCAATGATACCTACAACTAACTCTCACGTAGTTCAGAAAAAGAAAATACGTGTGTGTGAGTGCCCACACATGTGTAAAGTAAGAGACAAAGCAAATGTAGCAAAAGTGAAGGGGAGAGTCATTATATACTATTTCTGCAACTGTTCTGTAGTTTTGAAATTTTTTCAAAATAAAAATTGGAGAATACAGCAAAACCACACACAGACACACAAACACACAAACACACACACACACACCCCATAGTGAAAAACTATTTTAAAGCTACCAGAATGGCAAACTGGAAACAACCACTTTGTAGAACTAGTTGGCATCATCCAGTAAAACTGATGTGCAGACCCTATGAACCAGGAATCCCAACCTAGGAAAACTCTTAATATATCTGACATAGGTACAAAAATGCTCACAGCTGTGCGTGCAACAGTATACTGCAAATCACCCAACTAGTCATCAACATGGTTATTTTCCCACAAAGGAATATTCTACAGCAGTGAAAATGAATAAACTATAGCCATACACAGCCCATAAACATGTTAAGGGGACAAAACAAGTTACAAAATAGTACACATGGTAAGATTCCATCTAGATAAACTCTTTATATTTATATGTATATTTGATATATTTATTTATAGTTTAAAGACAAAAAACAGGCAAACTCAACTACAGTGTTTTAGAAGAACAAGGAAATGAAAAACCAAATTCTGGATAGTAGCTCCCTCTGGGGACACAGGGGCAGGAGGGGGAGGGCATGGAGAACTTGGAAGGCACTGGTAATTTCCTATCTTTTATTTTTTAATTTTTTTAAAGATTTTATTTATTTAACAGAGAGAGAGACAGCGAGAAAGGGAACACAAGCAGGGGGAGTGGGAGAGGGAGAAGCAGGCTTCCCGCGGAGCAAGGAGCCCGATGCGGGGCTTGATCCCAAGACCCTGGGATCATGACCTGAACCGAAGGCGGACGCTTAACGACTGAGCCACCCAGGCGCCCCAGTAATTTCCTTCCTTTTAAAGGTGGGTGGATGACTGGTTTATATGTGGTCATTATACTGTTGGATTTTAAACTCTGTCTCTGTGTCTGTAAACAGAAGTTTTTTTTAAGATTTCTTTTTTTTTTAAAGTTATCTCTATAGATACCCAATGTGGGGCTTGAACTCATGACCCCGAGATCAAGAGTCGCTCCGCTGACTAAGCCAGCCAGGGGCCCCTGTAAACAGAGTTTAAAATCCAACAGATATCTTCTATCTGAAAAACAAAAACAAAAACAAAAACAAAAAAACAAACCCTAGACCACACTAGGCTGACAATATTTTTAGACACACCCATCATTGCTTCACAATTCTGACAAACAGTTCATTTTAGCTGAAGCAGATAAATTTCTCTGACCTGACCAAAGGCAATGACAGAATTGAAAGATCACCTTGTCCGAACTACTGTTCGAAGACTCAGTGCAAACATTTAGTATCAATTCCTAAAAGGGAAAAGGGATGTGGCAGAGCAGAAAAATGCCACAGACTTATTTAGGGTCTTTGAGAGTAATACAACTCCGTGGCAAATAATATAATTGAGAACTGAGCCATCATTCATACCACTGGAAATTTCAGGGCCCTGTTTTATTTTTATTTATTATTTTCTTAAATTTTATTTTATTATGTTATGTTAGTCACCATACATTACATCATTAGTTTTTGATGTGGTGTTCCATGATTCATTGTTTTCCATATAACACCCAGTGCTCCATGCAGTACGTGCCCTCCTTAATACCCATCACCGGGCTAACCCATCCCCCCCACCCCCCTCCCCTCTAAAACCCTCAGTTTGTTTCTCAGAGTCCACGGTCTCTCATGGCTCATCTCCCCTCCGATTCCCCCCGCTTCATTTTCCCCTTCCTTCTCCTAATGTCCTCCATGTTATTCCTTATGTTCCACAAATAAGTGAAACCATATGATAATTGACTTTCTCTGCTTGACTTATTTCACTTAGCATAATCTCCTCCAGTCCCATCCACGTTGATGTAAAAGTTGGGTATTCATCCTTTCTGATGGCTGAGTAATATTCCATTGTATATATGGACCACATCTTCTTTATCCATTCATCTGTTGAAGGGCATCTCGGCTCTTTCCACAGGTTGGCTATTGCGGACATTGCTGCTATGAACATTGGGGTGCATATGGCCCTTCTTTTCACTACATCTGTGTCTTTGCAGTAAATACTCAGGGCCCCGTTTTAAACACGATGTCCACAAATTCCTTTTGACTGTTTAGAACCACAAGCATGTACCTTTGTTAGATCACTACAGTGATAACTATGGACAACCATGAATTAGATTGCATCTAATTGAAACCGCTAATTTCAAGTCTGACTTGAAAACCGATTTCCAAATAAGCTAAGGAACAAAATCTCAATCAAGTGTCCCCCAGGTCCCTTCAAAGACACAGTTCCTGGGCCCCAAAGGATTCCTGTTCCAGGGTAACCTATATCTTTGCTCTCATTCATAAAACAAAATAAAAACCACTGAAACCCGCAAAATCCAACAAGAAGGGGGAAGAGCAATAAAAAACAATGGCATTTCACCATCAGTTAATTCCTGAAATCTAAGAGTATATCAAAATTTGATTAGAGCCATCTGTTGTTCTTCATTTAAAACTTGTGCTAAATGTTTAAGTAGTCAACATCAACTTTATTACCTTCTAGTGAGAACACACAACCTTCAGGAAGAGATTATGCTTTCAAGGTAAACAAATGAAAGAACATTACATTCTCAATGACTCCGAAGAGGACAAAGGCACAGAAGACTAGAGAAAAAAATACAGGCCAACCATGAGCTAATTAGACATCTTTACTCTCTCACTCCCCAAAGACTCGCATATAAATGTGAGTAGCTTTAATATCTAACGTTTTCAAATTACCATAAAATGCTGGCCTGTTTAACCTGCCTTCCAACCACAGTCCCGCTGCTTCTGCCCTGGGCTGAATTCTCAGAGCAGAGAAAGCTATTTCCAAGCTAGAGGCTCTGGGCAGGAGGGGGTAGGGGGAATCCCCTCCTTGGCTTTCATGCACAGTGGGTCTGAGGTGCCCACGGAAACCACGGTGAGCACTCAGAGGCTCCCAGGAGACACCCGCCCAACTGGCTTTGGGGCACGTGTGTCTCTGCCACCACCACAGTGAGCACTCGGAACTGAGCATGAGTTTCCTTTTCCACGTTTCTTTCTAGGGCTCTGTAGAGCTTTCCTGACATTCTATTTCCTTTCCCATATAAAACTCGGTGTGGACTTAAGGAATTCTTTAAACAGGAAAGCAAGCTTCCAAAGAAAATGTCAGAGGAATGGAAACAAAACTACGGGTGTTTATTTTTTTTTTTTCGGGTGTTTATTTTTTAAAGGGGATTGCCAAAGGGCACTTGATATTAACACAGAACTTCCTACTCAAAGCTAGCTTAACCAGGCTCCAGAGAGACTAATTCCTTTAGCTATCACTAATACAAAAATGAGTCTTGAGATTTCACTGGAAGACTATTTATGTAAATAATGAGGAGCGCTCATAATTGATTCTACAATATTACATCCAAATTCTGGATTTCAATTTTGACACAGTTCTTTATATTTTTAAAGAGTATTTTGATTTGAGATGACAGAAGTCAAAATGAACTTCCTTCAATCTATAACGTAGAAGGTATGTTAATATAAGAACCCTGATTCTTCCTTATCGAGCAGTGCCTCCAAGGGCTTGGAGGAGACATGATGCCTTGTTCTATAGTCATTCTTCCTTATCAGAGGAAAGAATGTTCCAGCAAACAGGGGCAACATTCAATCAGCTATGGGGCTGCAAGAAGAGATGAAAGATGACACCTTCTTAAAATTACACAACCTCCTCCCTCTGCTGCTCATCCACCAGTCAGCAGAGAAAGTATGGTCTGTAGCTGGTGGCTGATCCCCAACACACCACCGCTCATGCCCTTAAGTGGGCCAAGAAGGCTAGGGGATGAAGAGATACGGTCTTGCTAAAAGGAGGGAGCCCATAGTAAGTGAAATAGCAAGAGGAGGAGCCTTGGTTAGTTGTTTTTTGTTTTTGTTTTTTTGCCTGGGAACACAGTATGTTCTCTATGAATCCAGTTTTGATAAAACTTTCAGAAAATACACTACACTTTGAGCACATTATAAATACAACAGAGAGGAAATGATGATCTAAGACTGCAGTGGAATGCATTTTATGGTCACCACTTATTCAGCCCTGCCAATAAAAACCAAATGCACAGAGGTTCTATTGCTCCTCCAATAAAGGCCACCAAGAGAGAATCTGAGCTAGAGGCATAATGAAAACAAAGAGAAAAAGCAGGATCAGGCAACAGTGTTATCAGGAGTCTTATAAAACCCTAGAGAAACCATATATTTAAACCAAAAGAAAGATAATGAAAAAGATCTTTCTCACCTTTTGAAAGTTCTTCCATAAATCTTCTACGACTATGTATCCTCGTAAACCCCAGTCATATAATTTCTCCCCACTGACCTTGAAACAAAATATAAAAGATCCATTGCTATTCCATACATGACTGGTAAGAATGAGAATATTCCACTTTCCTTTTTCCTGTTTCCAAAAGAACTGTATTTAAGCATACGACAGCTCCAGAAGCCTTGGGGCATACACATTAAGGCTGTGCAACATAAGCAAATAAAAAGATAGCGAGAATCATAGCATAAGCAGAAAACAGTTTGGTCGTGCAGTTACTGTTTAAAATAATTTGCCATAAATTACAGGTTAACAAGGAAAAAAATGAAGGAGGTCAACTGCTGATACTGAAATTCCTGAAAACGAGACACAAAAAGAAGGCTTCTGCCTATCACATCTAACACGTCATAGCCAACGAAAGCACATGCCCAGCTGAAAATCACTCACTCACTTTAGGGGCCTGGGTAAAAAATTAGGTGAACCTAATGAAGATGGTCTTAGTTTTCCCAGGTCCCCCAAAACATAAAGTCTTCACATTTCTATAGGGATTTTGCCTCTTGATCCAAGATCCTTTCTACAACACCCTGAGAGGTAGGGCCCAGGGTCAGAGAATACTTTGGGGCCAAGCCGTTCACTCCTTCATATGATACTGTAATAGCATTACACGGTGACAGATGGTAGCTACACCTCTGGTGAGCACAGCATAATGTATAAACTTGTCAAATCACTATGTTGTACACCTGAAACTAATGTAATACTGTGTGGCAACTATACTCAAATAAAAAAAAATTTTTAAAAAATGCCCTGGTCCACCTTTCTCTAGTTGACTTTAACTGTTGGAATTTTTTACATTTTAGGTACTGAGTATTGATTTTTCTTAAAAAAAAAAAATGCTTCCAGTAATTTGCATTCATTGGTCCTCCATGTGACAAACTATGTTGATTACTCTTCTACATGGAATTTCCACTGCAAGTTTCTGAAAGCAGTTATTGTTGTCTAATTTTTGTAATTTCTGTATCTATAGCATTTTAGTTTACAAAACACTTTCACACGAATTATTTCTATTCTAAATAACAACCCTGTACAGTAAGTAGGCAAAGATTATATGGAAATATTCAGGGGCCAAGTGACTAATCCAACTAAGGTCACAGTGCTAGTAAATCCGGTGGTCACTGTAACATGCTGGTTTCTTACAAGTTATTTTCTTCCAGTTGCTCTAACTGTTCTTAAAATATATGATTCTCAAACCCACTGGTAGACATATTGAGCATTTACCACATATATGACATTATTCTTGATGCTTTACATTTCTGTGGGGAAAATAACACTTGCCATCACTTTAAGCATTTTCTTACAGTACTTCTCTCCAAACACTACTGAACAAAAAACAATGTGAGCAATTAAGTGGCTGGTCCAAGGTCAGGGTATTCATAAAAAAAATTAAAACTGCTGAAATAGGAACTAAATGACACTAAAACAGTAACAGAAAATCCCTTTCAATCACTGATGTCTCTTTTGATTTATTATAGCAAAATATACATACAATTTACCATTTCATCCATTTTTAGGTGTACTATTCAGTGGCATTAAGTACATTCACAGTGTTATGAAACCATCACCATTATCCATGTCCAGAACTTTCTCATCATCCCAAACAGATCGCTAATGTTTTATATCTAGTGAAAATAAGTTAATTGTTTTGTTCTGGCTTATTCTAAGTACAAAATAAAAGACAAAACTCCTTCCCACTGACTTGAAAAATAAATTAGAATACAACTCATATTTGCGTCCTACGATCTTGGCTGTGAAAACAAAAGATCTTTTGCAACATATGCTGTGGCGTATAAATAAAAAAGACCTCTACTCAGGGGGCAGCCACATATGCTTCTCAACCAGCAGCCAAGCCCACTATCCACACCCTATCCATTTACTGTTGAAACCACAACACACTGAGATGATGTATGACTATGTTTATGATCCGGGGCAGGCAGACGTGATTCACTGTTCCTGAGCTGGGGCTGAAGCAGGCAGAGGAACATTAACTCTCTGCCTCCGGGACTGCTATAAACAATGTCAAGCCCATGCTCTAAAGATCCTACTGGCATCTGCTACCAAAGCCACCAATTTCTCACAGCTGGAGCCACTGGCCTCCCACCCACCTACAAGTGCAGTGCAGTCCAGGAATCCAGACTCAATCCTGTCAGGCGAGCCCTCCAGGGAGCTCAGTGTCAGATCCGTCTGGCTCAGGGCCCTGAGGGCCCAACTGCTGCTCTTCTGGGACCAAGTCTCAGCGTGACAGAGTACCTCCAGGAACCGGGCGGGTCCCTGTCTCCAGATGCTGTCCAGGACTTCAAAACCTCGAGCTTGTCTTGTTCTTGCCAGTTTTCCAAGGCACTCTATGTCTAGAGTTCCACTAAGTCTAGACACCAGTGCCCTGAGGAAGTCTAGTCTCTGTCAGTGGTTCTCAAACATCAGGGACATTCAAATCCCCTGGAGGGCTTGCTAAAACACAGATTGCTGGCCCTCATCCTCAGAATGTCCGAGGCAGTCAGTCTGGGTTGGGGCCTGAGAATGTGCATTTCTAACAAGCCAGGGGATCCTGATGTTGCTGGTCTCGGGACCACACTTTGCAAACAGCTGGTCTAGCTGTTAGGGACTAAATTGTGTCCCTCGAAAATCACATGTTGAAGTCCTAACCCACAGCGTGACTGTATTTGGAGATAGGGCCTTTACAGTAGTAGTAGTAATTGAGGTTAAATGAGGTAATAAGAATAGGGCTCTAATCCAATATGACTGGTGTCATTTTAAGTCGACGACGAGACACCAGGAATGTCCACACACAGTGAAACGGTGGCCATCTGCCAGCCAAGGAGAGAGGCCCTAGGAGAAACCAACCCTACCAACACCGTGATCTTGGACTTCCAGCCTCCAGAACAACGCAAAAATAAATCTTTGTTGTTCAAGCCACTCAGTCTGTGGTATTTTCTTACGGAACCCTGAGCAGGCTAAAACATAGCTCTACCCATCTTGCCTGCCAACTCTGTTCTCTGACTTGACAGGATGCCCTCAAGCTGAGGTCTGAAGGGAAAGAAAGGAGCGGCCAACTGAGAGCCCTAAGACAGGGATTCCCAGCGGAGGGGACCGCACTCCTTGAAGCCCCCAGCAAGCACAGTGAGGCTGACACCAGGCCCAGGGAGAAGGTGCAGAGGGGCAGAGCACAGGCCTATGCCTGCAACTCCAAGGAGGACAGGATGTGACCAGATACACCCAAATGGAGAATGACCCATAACTAGCAGCTTTGGAGTTGAAGTCTCTAGACTTCCATGTAAATATACCCCCAAAAAAGGTATCTTAATTTTTTTGACTAACATTCAAATTAGTGTGCATTCTCTGAATACTGACATGATTGGAAGGAGGGCCAGAACTGAGGTACATGGTGGAGAAAAACATTTAAATGTGTGGTAGTTCATCTAGGTGTGGAAACAAATTTTAGTCTGGCGCAATAAAAGCTGCAAAATAAAAAATATTAAGCAGTAAACCCAGACACACATAAGCAAGAATAAGGGACACCCCAGCTTACTGGGTCTAACTTACCTGGACAAATACAATGGCTTGTTGTGGATAATAAAGAGAGGCAGCAAGTCCCATGAATCCAGGTGGATACACCAGCTTCTTTATTTTTGAACCTATTAAATAAAAGGTTGTAGATGCCAACAGATGATTCATGACCCTTACCATCTCAGTTTGCCCTGGACACCTAACACTGAATAAGACTACTTTTCTTTGATCCTAGATTAACAGAGAATGTGCCTAATAATGTCATATGCACCAAAAAGAACCACCACATCTTCACAGCTTTGGTGAGATGTAATTCACACAACTCACCCATAAGTATACATTCATCATGATGTATTCACAGAGGTATACAACCATCACTACAATCAGTTCTAGAATATTTTCATCACCCCAAAAAGAAATGCCATATCCATCCCTATTCCCCCATTACCCCCCATCCCTAAGGGACCACTAATGTACTTTCTGTCTCTACAGAGTTGCCTACTCTGAACATTTCACATAAATGCAGTTATATAATATGTGGCCCTTTGTGACCGGCTTCTTTCATCAGCACAATGTTTTCAAGAGAACCACCACTTCTAAGGGAGTAAATAAAGAATGTTCTGAAAAGAAGCCCACGGCACTTTGGTTTCTAAGGTTTCTGTTCTTTTGTAGTAAACTAGCTTTCTATTTAAGGACTCAGCACAAGCACTGCTCTCCTCTCCTTTCTAATACTCCATGAAAATTAACAGTAAAGGAATATAATACAGGTAATAAACCCACAATGAAGAGGAAATGTGGGGAGGGGCCATCGGGAGATAAGATGTGTCATCCAATTTACAGAAAATGGCGAGTGGACAGAAGCAAGAGGACACACAGCTATGAAGTCTGGAGGAGAAGGGAGCAGCAGGGTCCCCGGCAGCCCAGAGATGGCAGCGACTGTGGACGATGGAGAGGGCAGCCAAGGACCAAGATGGGGGGAGGCGGGGAGACCTGGGGACTATGGACGGACGCAAATATAAGTCCTGTGCAGAGTCTAGGTGGTTCTCTCCTTCCTCCATGCCATCGTGGTGTAAAACTGCCCGTGGCCAGGCAGTCTATCCAGCCAAACTTTTACAAAGGTGGAGAAGTATCTTTAAAGAGGGGCTCCTGGGTGGCTCAGTCAGTTAAGCATCGGACTCTTGATCTCAGCTCATGTCTTGATCTCAGGGTGAGTTCAAGCCCTGCATTGGGCTCCATGCTGGGTATAGAGCCTACTTTAAAAAAAAAAAGGGGGGGTAATCTCTAAAGAAATGCCATAAATTTTCTGCTGAGAACCAAGATAGCTGGTGTGTGTACATGTGAGCATTAGTACCCAAGAGCAGAGTTTTCCTCGCACAGGCCCCAGGTGTGGGCACCCTGCGTATAAAGTCAGTTCCCTTTCAGCTCACCCTGAGGTAGAACCTGCTGGCCAGTAAGCCCCATCTATGCACAAAAAAAATTCTTATTAGCATTTCAATTGCCGTGCTCTTAAATATGACTATATAACCAAGGATCACTAGTCATTTGAGGAAAGCCTGCAGCATAAAAGAGAAGATCAAGACAAGCCAGAAAGGAAAAAAAAAAAAAAGACCCCACAGGAAACAAAATAACTTAAAAACAAAACTATACCTGTTATTAAGTATAATCGAATAAATTTAAGAAGCTACTACATTGAAATAAAAAAAGGGTTCTATGAAAAAGGAACAATCAAAGAACAAGAAAGAGTGACTTGGAAATGACAAAACTAAAAAAAAAATCAAATCAAAAGGAATAAAATAAAATGATCAAAAAAATAAAAGAGACATATAGGGTCCCTTGAACAGCTTCACTGCTGAGAGTAAATTTTCAAATAAATACAAACCAGATTACATTCCTACAGCTGAGGGTTGCAAGCCACCAAAATGCCCAACCAGGAATGAGACATCTATACGTAGTCACAGCACCCTGAAGTTCAGAACACTGAAGATTAAGAGAAGATCCTCGGGCGCCTGGGTGGCTCAGTTGGTTAAGCGACTGCCTTCGGCTCAGGTCATGATCCCGGAGTCCCGGGATCGAGTCCCACACATCGGGCTTCCTGCTCAGCAGGGAGTCTGCTTCTCCCTCTGACCCTCTTCCCTCTCGTGCTTGCTATCTCTCATTCTCTCTCTCTCTCTCAAATAAATAAAAAAAATCTATAAAAAAAAAAAAAAAAAAAAGACAGAAGATCCTCAAAGGTTCCAGGGGGAAAAAAATGAATCACTTCAGAAGTAACAAGCATCCAGGCTGGCTACTGACAGACACATCTGCAAGGCCAGATGCTAGAAGACACGGCCTTCAAAGTTTTGATGGAAAACAAATTCTATAACCAACCTAATTATCACCGAATATGAGGGTAGAAGGTAATTTTTAGACCTGCAAGGATTTAGAAAGTGACTTGAGCATGTAGTTCAACAACATGGCAGAGCAAACCAAGGAAAAGATGACATGGAACCCAAAAATAGGGGGTCAAACCCAAGAGAGCATAGAGCCATGTCCCAAGACCACCGCAGTGCTGAGTCTCAGTCCAGACTTCAAGAGGATATGTGAAAGAGGACTTCAACTACCTCCATTTTGGCCTCAGTCTGCACTTTTTAAAAATTTTTTAAGATTTTATTTTTAAGTGATCTCTACACCCAACATGGGGCTTGAACTACAACTCCGAGATCGAGTCACCTGCTCTAATGACTGAGCTAGTCAGGCGCCCCTCAGTCTGCACTTTCTAAATGATTAAATTTCCCTTTCTAGCTTATCTCTTAACTCAGGCAAAAGACCCTACGTGCAAAATGTCCCCTGATGGGAACCAAACCTACCCCCTCAAGTAATAAGGACTGCACTGAACCAGCAGGACCCCACGTGACTGACTCCAAGACAATGATGGACTGGACCTTCACTGACTACCTGCACTTACCTTTGCCCCACATTTTCCTTACATAAACCTAGAAGGATTTTCGGCACTTTGGAGACAGTCTTTAAGATGCTAGTCCACTGTCTTCTGGGTGTTGGCCTCACCGAAATAAATTCCTTTCTTGTTTCAACGCCACTTATCTCTCTGCCTTTGGATTTTGTCAGCGATGACTGACTGAACCTGGTCTGTTTAAGACTCCCGAAGACAGTTGCTCTTACACCCTTGCGCCCCAGCTACATGTAGAGCCCTGGGCAAAAGAGAATGGCAGTATAGGTAGCAGCACAGAGAATTGGAGAAGCCTGAGAATGAGGTTCAGAAAACTGGTACTGGGTGAAACAGGAGGAGCCTCTAGAAATGAACTTGGACCTAGACAGTCTCTGCTGAGAGGCACAGGACTTTTGACATGGGACACGGATAGATGTTAGTGCAATGTATGTTACTTACACACAGTTAGAATAACCTAAGTGCTGTTTATTGGTTTTATTTATTTTTTTAAAGATTTTATTTATTTATTTGACAGAGAGAGAGATGGCGAGAGCAGGAACACAAGCAGGGGGAGTGGGAGAGGGAGAAGCAGGCTTCCCGCCGAGCAGGGAGCCCGATGCAGGGCTCGATCCCAGGACCCCAGGATCACGACCCGAGCAGAAGGCAGACGCTTAATGACTGAGCGACCCAGGCGCCTCTCTTTATTGGTTTTAAACTTTAAACAGACATATCTCCAAAGAGGGAACTAGGGTCACAGAAGACAAAACAAATGTTATCAATCTAGACTCTTAATAAATTAATGTTTCTTTCCTTGTCCTACCGCCTTGATTGAAAGGATAGAATTACTCTAGAAAACACTGTTTTGTCCCTGGGTCCCACCGGTATAGTTCCTGAGCAGCTCACATAAGTGAGGACCAGGTGAAGGGCAGCACAGCCGACAACCAGCCATTTCTGGGTCATTTACAAAAAAACTGGTAAGCAGCAGCTCTTGGGCCTCCAGCTTCTAATGGTTCACACAATGAGCTGGGGTCTCCAAAACTTCAGGAAGTGAGGAGGGGAAGGAGCCACAGGAAGGTGACAATAGTGGGCAACAACCACCTGCCACCCTTGAGTGACCTGGCTGAGTCCACTTCCTCGGAATGATCATCCCACTCACCTCCTAGAGAGGTGCCTTGTCACCACCAGTCATGGCCATTCTCATCAAATGAGCAGGATTACCTTAGCATTTATGCTCAAGAAACCCTATCATATGATGCAGCAATCCCGCTTCTGGGTATACACCCAAAGGAAATGAAATCAGTCTCTCAAACAGGTATCTGCACTCCCATGTTCACTGCAGCATTAGTCACAAGAGCCAAGACATGGAAACAACCGAAGTGTCAAGGGATGAGTAGGTAAAGAAATTGTGATACCTACATGAATGGAATATTATAATATTATTCAGTTTTAAAAAAGGAGACCCTGCCATTTGCAACAACATGGATGAACGCAGAGGACATTATACTATGTGAAATAAGCCTTAATGAGAAAGAACAAAAACTACATGATCTCACTGATATCTGGAATCTAAAAGAGTCAAATGCACAGAAGCAGACAGCAGACGTGTGGCTACCAGAAGGAGTGGGGGAGGGGAGATGGAGAGATGCTGGTCACAGGGTACAAAGTTGCAGTTATGTAGAAGGAGTAAGCCTAGAGAGTAATGTATGGCATGATGACTATAGTTAATAATACTGAATCTTGGAGATTTACTAAGAGAGATTACTGGTGCTTTCATCTGAAAAAAAAAAAAAAAGGTAACTATGGGGCACTTGGGTGGTTCAGTGGTTAAGCGTCTGCCTTCAGCTCAGGTCATGATCCCGGGGTCCTGGGATCGAGCCCCGCATCGGGCTCCCTGCTCAGTGGGAAGCCTGCTTCTCCCTCTCCCTCTCCCACTCCCCCTGCTTGTGTTCCCTCTCTCGCTGTGTCTCTCTCTATCAAATAAATAAAATCTTAAAAAATAATAATAATAAAAAAATTTTTAAAAAGGTAACTATGATAGAAGGTATGTTAAATAGCTTGACTGGGGTAATCATTTCACTATGTATATGTATGCATATATGTATATCAAAACATGCCATATACCTTAAATACATACAATTTTTATTAAAAAATAAAATTTTGGGGGGGCGCCTGGGTGGCTCAGTCGGTTAAGCGACTACCTTTGGCTCAGGTCATGATCCTGGAGTCCTGGGACTGAGTCCCACATCGGGCTCCCTGCTCGGCAAGGAGTCTGCTTCTCCCTCTGACCCTCCCCCGCTCTCGTGTGCTCCCTCTCTCTCTCATATAAATAAATAAAATCTTTAAAAAAATCAAAATAAAAAATAAAAAAAATTTTTAAAGTTAGACCAAAAAAAAAGAAAGAAAAGAAACTGTGCCAGGAGGGATCTTCTGAGCCCACCCTGCTGCTGCCAGCATAGGGGGACCATCTACCTGGAGGGGGCTGCAAACCACTCCAGATACCCAATAAACATACTCACCATCCCGCCCATCTTATTCAGTGACCACCTGACGTTGTTCACCTCAGGCCTTTCTACCCCAGCCCCAAGGAAAAGACTTGTTGTTGAATATTTGTGCATGAATGTGTGTGTGCACATGTGTACTTTTTTTTTTAAGATTCATATATTTATTTCAGAGAGAGAAAGAGAGAGTGAGAGCAAGGAGGAGAAGGGGCAGAGGGAGAGAATATCCAAACAGACTCCCACTGAGCATGGAGCCCGATGCCTCAGATCAGCACCTGAGGCGAAACCAAGAGTCGGATGCTTAACTGACTGAGCCAACCAGGTACTCCTATGTGTACTTTCTTGAAAAAGAATTAGGGTTTTACATTATGTTAATTCTACTGAGCCCTCCCTGGAAAAGGAAAAGGAGAGAGGAAAAAATAAACCAGCAAGCAAAAACGAAGGAATAGAACCCGCAGTAGTGGGTGTCCTTATGTCACTGTTCTGCCCGGGAGAGCACAGTCCCCGATTCTCCTCAGGATAGTCACCCCAGTGGACGTGCCCGGGGATGAACACCAGACAGCATGGCAACGCACGCACACACGCACAGCAGAGGACGCTGGCTTTAGGGCCATGCTCTCACCATGGCGGGGGGCGGGGGGGGGAGCTAATATCACTTGATTCTACATTCCTGGCTCCCTAACAGTAGCCAAGATTCCAACACCCTGGCCTTGGGAGCTTCATAAATTTAAAATGCTATCTATCTAAGTGAGACAGGAATGCTTTTTTGGACAGCTTTACAGAAAGGAGGGGGAAAATGTTTGGTGGGGGAGTTGGTTCAACTCCTTCGCAAGTCAATTAGTAAAAATGAACTCTTAATTCTTATATACTCTGCACAGGCTGGGAAGAGGGCACAGAAACTATGACAGGAGTTCATTCCACAGGTTGAGGGAGTGGCACCATGCTGCCTGTTTCCAGACTAAAATAACAGATACGCCATGTGCAGAAAAGCTTTATAAATTTGGAGGAATGGGTACCAAATCAGTCACTATAGTTAATCTTTTATGAGGGTTTGATTGCAGGGTTCATAAACCCTCTATTTTAGGAATTTTTGTCAAGTCTGAATTTTATAATCAGTGAAACCTCAGTAGTTTATAACAAATTTATCCCATTATAGTGAAGTACCTTGTCATCCTTTACTTCCTCTAACTGTTTGCAATCCAGCAGTATAGTGTAGTAATATATTTCAAGTTGACATCTGTTAGTTTTTAAGTGTTTTAAAAATTTTAATATCATCACTGATGACCAAAGCTATGACACATCAAGAAATTAATAAAATCTCTATGAAATCACTGTTCTATTTACTGTGATTAATAGCCTGATCTCAACAGTGAAACCAACAGAAACAGTTTCTCAGGTGTGACAGACTTCGGTTAACAAAAATTCACTCTTTCTGTACCAAAGGGAGATGGTAACTTAATCAAGTAAATGTGCCCATAAAGGATATAACTATATTATTTTTTTAACTAACAGTATACAATTTCTTCCATTTCATATTTTTATAATTTCTATATATGCTTAAAATCAAATATACTGGATAAAATAACCATATCAATTATATATTAAGAGGCCATATTTCAGGAACCAACTCATTATTCTGACAACTGGCAGATAAAAAGAAATAACCAAGTTATCTATCTTATCTCTCCCTTATGAGCTGTTTAAAAAAAACCCCACAAAATTGCACCTACCTCTAGCCAAAAGAAGTCCAACAATGCCAGCAAAACCAATAACACCAAGTCTTGGAAAAAATCCAGGAGGTGCATTTTGGAGATATTCATAGCTGCCTACAATAGAATCAGACCAGGAAATAGTTCTGTAAATTGCCCATTAAGAAACAAACCAAAAAAATCTTACACATAACTAGTATATATAGTACCAAATGCTTCTCAAATAATGTGTTCTTTGTTTTATGCTAATATGCTTTTTTTCAACACATTCTTTTTATGTGATATATGAACATGATTTATTATTCACATAGCAAGTAGCCAATTTTCAAACACTTCAGGTCTGATGACCTACTGACAAGAAAGTAATGTTAGACTACCTTCATATTCCTGAATGCAACAGATCTGAATCAACTATACACAGGGGGAGAAATACTAATACAGGGATTCCTTGCCTTCCAAACACAGAAACAGAATAGATTTGGCTAGATCTGCCGCTATCTTGAAGCTCTGCTGCTTGTTCTCCGAAACTCAGGAACCAAATACATGAGGCTCAGGGGAAAAACGTTTCCTTTGCCATCTGAACTCATTCTTTGAAATTGAGAAGAGAATAAATCTGGACAATGCAGGAAACTGTTAGTGCAAGTATATGCGGGAAATAGTCACTGGTGATAGATAAACACAAAGAAATGCAGCATATGAGCCTAGGTGCCATGCCTGAGCATGCCTTATGACCTCATGCGAATGATGACTCCTCTCCTGTCCACTGAGCCAATCCCACGAAGTAAGAGCCATCTGCATTCCTAACCTCCTCAGAAAAGCCTTTCCTAGACTCCTCAGCCCACACCGCTCTCTCTCTCTCCTCTAAAGTCTCATCATATTTATTCTCTGGACCCTCATTTGGTATGTAATCTTATATAGCACCTTATGTTTAATTAGTCAGGGGTGTATTTTATGTCTCCTCAAGGAGAACATATGCTCCTGAATGGTACACTGCTTGGACTTCTATGTTATTTTCCCTCAGTGGTAACAGTGGATGTTCGTCCAACAGATATTTACTAAAAGCACTGCTAGGTGTTGACGGATACTGAATGAATTAACAAACGGGTTTCAGAGAGGCTGTAACTTAAAAACACTTCACGTCTCTCTCTCAACCCCATCTTCAGCACTTGCTATCTGCTTCCAGTTTCCGGCTCAGGAAACAATGAGTCACTCCTCCAAGCCCTGATTGAGCTGTGTCCTCCGTGTGGAATGCTGCTAAGTGTTCCACCCCCATGTCTTGGTGTGGTTGACTCTATTCTAAGATTCAACTTAGAAACCCTTCCCTGACTCTTCCCCTCCCTCCAAACTCCATTAAACTCATCTCCTTCCTCTGCACCTTCAACAGTGGTCTGTGACTTTCTCTGTATTTGTGCTACTGTTGAAAATGTATTATATGCACCTCGGTGGTTGTGACCACTGTCTTAATCAGCTGCGCTCTTCCATGCCTGCCATGGAAGGCACATATGTGGAACCGAACTAACTGGAATGCTTGGTAATTTTCTCCCCCAGAAAAGAGCAGACACATGCCAGTTTTCCGTTTCCTGGGTGTTTGGGAAACGTGGTGATCATTTTAAATAATACTATAGGGCTTGTGCTGTTTGCACGAATTCCTGTCTGGCCTTTTACTTATTTTGCCTTTAACTTAGTTTTCACTTTCCATTTCGTTGTCTGGATCATCTGAAGCAATTTTCTACTTCCCTTTATTTTTGCCTACCGGCGCAGTGTTTTTAATTCGAGACGTGCACACGGAGCAGTTGATAGGAGGTCACCCGGATGGCCTTGGTGAGCTGAGCTGAAGTGGGTGAATCACAGAGAAACGGGAAAGAAGATATGCTAAAAGGCTGCGATGAAGCCCCAGCCCGGCTTCTGGTAACGGGTCGTGGCTGTGACTGCTGGGAAATGGACGGACCGCCTTGGCAGATAACAACACAACTCATAATGGAATGTTTCTTCTTAAGAGCTTTTGCAGTAACCAGGCCAAGAGACGAAAACCAAGACTTAGGTTGCAAATAATGCCTATTGCTATGAATCAATGGGAAGTGATAGGTAACAATGAAGAGCCCTCCTCAGTCACATATGTAATGACAAGAGATCAGAAGTTCTTTAGTTTCCTCAGATTAAAACATGAAGGTAATAAAAGCACCTATCTGTCAGGGTTATGAGGATTATACATAAATCAATATTTTAAAGCACTCAGGGTAGTTCCTGGCATGTAATAAAAACTAAGTAAGTGCTGATGAAATTAATAAAACTGAGATGTTACTTATTAACATACATATTATTCATGGATGTTAATATCCTATATCAGCCCATCAACACTCCATGATCTTCGGAAGGAAATAAACTGTATTCGTGCTTGTTGTATTCTGTCATGGAAGCAAACACTTGTAAAAACATGAGTTTTTGTTTGCTGAGATGCCCAGTAAAGGGAATGAAACACACTCAATGTCCATTAATTCACCAGTTTCTGATGGAGATGAGTCAGAACGTAGACTGTGAACCAAGTTTATGAGTGTTTGGGATAAGTGGATGTGAAAAACAATCAAGGACAATAAAAACCCAATGGAAAAAAATGTAAGAACACTACTCATGCAGTAAGGTCTTTCCTAGGCACACCAGCCCAGTTCCTTCTAGCCTCTAAACTTCTGTCACGTGTATTAACAGACATACAAATAAGTTATCCTGATTCCGAAAACCTATTGATGAGTTAGTGGGGGTTAGTACGAGTCATGGAAAACGCACCTGGAAACAGATTTCAGGGAAAAAAAACATCCAGTGTCTCTGAACTTGTTAGCCCAACAATCCTAATGATCTTGAATGGACTTCCCAAATGTTTAGGGACACTAGTCCTCTGAAATCTGAGGAAAATAACCGATCTTCTTTCTAGAAAAACCCACACAGCTCTAATATTCTGCATACAACTTCAAGGAATTTCCAGACCTCCTGGGGCCCATCCAGGGAATCCCAGTTAAAGAATCCAATATTAATGAAGAAACTAATTATGCCTAATCAACTTACCTAATAATAATTTTTAAAAAATCAACTCACCTAACCCCCATTGAACCAAGCTCTGCATCCTGGGCTTAGTTTGTGAGTACATTTCCTAAAAAGGTGAAAAGAAAATGAATGAGAAGGATATGCTGATTAGAAAGTAACAATAAATATATTTGTCTTTACTGCATAAGTTATCATATTATTAACACTTTGTGAACAAAGGGATACACTGTCTATCTGGGGTTTTTTGTGTTCTTTTTCTCTTGTGTAATTTCCCCTTCACTGCAAGCTGCTCAGCAGAACAGTTTATTATTACCACAGGAAGCAAACATTACAAGCAGAGTGATTTCAACAACCTAGCCTTTTTATTCTTCTATTAGATTCAAAGAGAATAGACAAAAATCAACCCCCTTGATAATTAAAGTGGCAATCCTCTCCCTGTGAGATTAAATCTGTCTTTCATATTAAGTCTATATGTCATGATTTTAGAGTCTGTATCTGAAAACTGCCCTTCTGAAGCAGGAATGACCACCTTGAATGGGACAAAGGAGTCTATATCCAAGTTTTGAGAGATACTTACCCTAATCCTGAGCAAATGAAGTATTAACATTCTCTTAACAACAATAACATGGCTTTGTACAAGAACATCATATATTCTAAAGAAAACAACGGACTAGCTGGAAGGGACCCCACTCTTCACGAAGTCTACAATAGGGGCGCCTGGGTGGCTCAGTCAGTTAAGCGTCTGCCTTTGGCTCAGGTCATGATCCCGGGGTGTGGGGCTCCCTGCTCAGCGGGAAGCCTGCTTCTCCCTCTCCCTCTGCCCCCCCCCATGCTTGTGCTCTCTCTCTCTCTCTCTCTCTCTCTCCCAAATAAATAAAATCCTAAAAAAAAAAGAAGTCTACAATAAAGATAGGAAAAGAGACACATGGACATCAGAAGGTATTAGAACCAGTTGCCACTTGGAAAAGGATTTGTTTTGTTTAATTTTGGTCCAAGTCAGAACAAGTTATCCTAATACTGTTAAATGCCCTTAAACAATAAACACTGAATTTAGGGGAGGACATAAAAAACATTAAAAAATTGAATACTGCTTCATTAAAATTCATTACTGGTATTTTAATGCCCATAAAAAGAAAGAAAAACTACAGATAAACATCTAGAGTGATGACCTATTTCTTTTGCTAGCATAATCTTCTCACTATAAAGAAAAATTAAATTAGTTTTTAAAGAAAGGGGCTAGAAATTATTGGCCCAAGGAGCCAGGAATTAGAAATATTTCTATTGAAGAAGACATCATTCTGTAGAAAAATAAAGCCATTGTAGTCACAGAATGGCTTTTTTATTTAGAAATAGTACAAATAAACATGTTGATAATTATTCTGTCCTTTAGAGAGGTATTTTGCTGCACTGAGCATCATGCACAGATGAAAGAGTAAAAAACAGAAGGCAATCTTAGGTTGAAAGGTTAAGAGACAAAGTACTTTTATAACCCGCCCCCAAAAAAAGAGCACAAAATAACCGCAGTCAATGCCTACATGATAGAAAAATATTCACACAAATTTGCCAACCTTATCTTAACCAGCAGATGGTTTAAAAATCTTCTAGAACAAGAGAATAAAGTCTAAGCTTTTTACAACACATTACGTAAAAGTCTTTAGATATTTATAACTCAATAATATGGTTATGATACTTAAGTATACTGGCCTAATTTATACTGTTGACAGAGTCTATGCTTACTATTTTCTTCTAAATTGGTGAAAAGAAGTTCAGCCGTGGCACAGAGAATGGAAATGAAAATCTTAAGACAAGTTCTGGATGAAAATTCAGTCTGTGAATCTCAAGCAAAGTATAGCTAGACCATGTCACACACAACTACACACTTTGTACTAATCTGCCATCAATTTTCGAGATCCAGATCAAGTATGGCAAATACTTTATGTGTCAAAGCCCACAAAAGCATTCTGTATATTGTAAACTTCCATTTCAGATGTTAAGAATTGCAGAAATGTTTCCACGAACATAGTTAACAGGGGCCTGATCTAAAACCTGAGCAGTGACAGAAGCCCATCTGCCTATGTAGCTCTCTGGTCACTGGGGCAAATAGTTCAGTACTCAAATATGTAATCCCACACTTTTTTAGCTATATCCATCCTTCTGTTACAGCATTCAAAATGTTCTGTAACCATTCCTGTTAAAATGGTTCTGATGTGTACACTTTCTGGGGGGAGAAAAACGTTCCAATTTTGATATAAATGCTTACATTATATGCTTTTCCTTCTACTAGAGTTCCAGCCCCATACCTTCCCCTAGGAGACAATCATGGCTTCCTAGCTGCGACCAACAAGAGAATTACCAGTCCACTCCTCAGTCAAGGTGCCGCACGCTGCCTGGAAGGAGGGCCATCCTCCCTGCAGCGATGGCAAGAGCTGCACCAGGATGCTAGGGCTCTCTGCTCCTCTCAGAGATGGCACTGATGAGCACCGCAAGTCAGGCCCTTGAAGGTTGGAGTCCCCTATCATGCCTTTTTCTGAAAACATGCAGCCAATATAGACTTTTCACTCTTGACTCTAGACCGAAATGTGTCACTCCACTTTTAGAACAGCTGTACCTGACACCAACTTGTATATGGCTCGCAGTAACGTCGGAGATGTGAAATGCTTTCTTCAAGTGGGGTCCTTGGCTCCTCCACATATTTAGATTGACCCTCAGGGACGGAGTAGAGTGAAAGCTGCATACATTAAAAAGCAGAACAAAAAGAAATAAAAAAGCACATGCAGTCATTAGAATGCAATCAATCATCAAATCAGCAAGCATCATTATTTCTAATAATTCATGAACTGCTGTGATTCTAAGGGTTTCATGCACCCTGAACCTTACTTCAGAGGATCTTTGCACCTGATTTATCAATAAGAAGAAGGCCAAGAAGACAGAACTATGAAGTGTCCTACCCTTCTCCCACTCCAGTGGTAGCAGACAAAGCAGCCCCCCCTTGATCCATTTTATATCCTGGCATTTAGTATTTCACCTTAGATACAGTTTGGAAAAAGGATTCTATGACTCTAAAGTGGGGAGGGGATGCAAAACAAAAACTGAGTTTAAATGATCAGTCTGGTGCTAATCCAAGCAGGTTTGTTTCCCACCCAGAGGAGCGACTTGTTCATAGTCGCTACTGGCTGCCTTCTTCACCCTCAAAAAACGCCACAGTCCCTAGGTCTGAGAAGAGTAAAAAAAGGCAAAAGATAAACTAATTAGCTTTTTGAAAACACCATTCAAGTAACCTGGTTCATGACTGAAGGCAGATCTTTATATCATTTTACTCTAAGTCAACAAAAAGCAAATATCCAAAATAATCACCGGGAAGTATAGACAAAAAAAGAATGTAAACAATGGAGAGAAGATTTCTTGTTTCATTTATTTAGTATTTATTAAGCATCTACTTAAAAGCCTCTAATCTGGCCAAGAAGAATGAAGCCAGGTCTTTAATTTCTTAGAGAGGGAAAAATGCAAATATTTTCTTGGCTTGAAAGCAGTCTTGCAGGGGCACCTGGGTGGCTCAGTTGGTTAAATGACTGCCTTTGGCTCAGGTCATGATCCCAGGGTCCTGGGATCAAGCCTCGCAGAGGGCTCCCTGCTCTGTGGGGGAGACTGCTTCTCCCTCTGCGTCTGCCTGCCACTCTCCCTGCTTGTGCTCTCTGTCTCTGTTAAATAAATAAAATCTTAAAAAAAAAAAAAAAGGAAAGCAGTCTTGGATGAGACGGATCGCTTAGTGGTGACGAGCAGATTCCCCACAAAAAAACCTAGGAAATACTCAATTATGCCTTTAGTTAACTATCATTAATTAAAGTTTATTTGTTGAAAAGTTACATTTTAGTAGCGTCCCACGAAGAAAAACTACAAAGAAATATATTTCCTCCCTTTAAGTGTCTTCTAAAATGTCCTGTCTCCTGACATACAATGTGTATACTTCGTATATAACTAAAGCAGATGTTCAAAAAATAGCACAACATGAATGGCATGTTACCTCATTAACCTTCACAGAAGTTTTGTGAGGTGAGTCCTTTTTAGGTGATGCATAGACTCTGAAGGTGAGCAGACTCAGGCTGGCTGGCCCCACAGACCTCTGAATTACCTGAAACACAGAAACAATCTTAAGCCTTCTGTCAATGCAATAAACTGAATGTGCATAACGTGAGCACATTTATTGCGCTTTATGAGAAACAGATGTATTCCTGAAGTTTTATGGAAGTCAGAAACTAAAAAACGTGTACTCACAGACTTAAAATTTCAGGTCACCTTCACCTTAATTTCCAAGACAGTAGTTCTTAAGTTTTTCTACTTAGCCTGTCAAGTAAAATAAAATATACATACAAAGACACGTGTGCACACTTTTAAAAATAACAGAGAAATGCTATGGAATGACTTTAAAATTATAAGAATCTCGATCTCTCTCACACACATACACACACCCCCCACCACCAACAGTGGAAGAGGTTTCTAATGATTTCAACTAGTGATTTGCCGAACAGAGTGAAGATTATCTCTGTGATTCTAATAACCAAACTTTCACAAGTGTTCTCTTTCCATTCCCACTCAGAGCTGGTCTCCCCCAATCTAAGTTCCCCAACTCAGTATCTTTTCCTGCCTTGCCCTCCCTCACTGGGTCACTCACACCCAGGGCTGCAACGCGAAGGCAGTACCTCCCAGATATGCAGCCCCAGCCCAGAGCTCCCCCCGAGCTCCCAACTCACTATCCAGTTACTCCTGGACATTTCTACTTTTCTACAAGCCATGTCCAAAATCAACTCATCAGTATTTTGACTGTGCCTCCAAGTCCACACTTGGCCTGATGGCTGGGTATGTGTTATGGAATCAAGTCAGAAGGCTTTATTTTCAATAATAATCCCCTACCTTTACACAGCACTTGACCATTGAGCATCTTTCCCCCAGACCTGCCCCTTCTTCCTCTACTTCCTCTCAGGCATGGTGCCACCACCCAACCAGACAACCCGGTCAGAAGCTCTGAGGTCATATTCACCACCACCCCATCCTATCGGTCAGTAAGTCCTGTTAATTCTAACTGTTCAATAATCTCAATTCACTCTCCCCACTTTATCTCCTCCTGTACAATCTTCCCCCGGGCCCTCATTTCATGGATTGTTTCCAGCAGCATTCTAACGGCTCACCTGGCCCTCTGATGACTCGAACCACCACACTGCAAAAGAATGATCTTTCTAAACTGCAAATTGATTATCTTCTACCCTTCTTTGAGATCCTTTGTTATTTATTATCTAGGACTTTTATGCGGGCCAAACAAGGCCCATTATGATGCGACCCCAACCACCTTCTTTCACCTCATCTCTGCCACTCTGCCTTCTCCCACAACACACGAATTCCCTAGATTTCTCCCATGCTGTTGCCCAGCTTCCTGCGTTTACACATGCTGCTTGCTCTGCCTGAAATGTCCTATCCTTGCTTTGTCTTTCTGTATAACTGCCTAAGAGCAGGGAGATATATTGCATTTTTCTTTTCTTTTCTTATTTATCCATTAATTTATGTCTATCAAGTTCTCCCTACCAGACTGGAAGACCTTTCACGATGCTGCCATGTCTTACTCGGTCTCCCTACTGCCCCTGCCTGTGCCTAGCACAAAAGAAATATTCACGAACTGTTTACTGCCTACATGAATGGATGGAAGAGAGGTGGAAAATAAATGAGTGGCTGACTTGTTCTAACTCTGTAGGCATGCCTTAGCATCATGGAAATCATACTACTGAGATTTGCAATGCCTACACTGTGAAAAGACTAGGCTATTTTATAATACTCACAAAACATATAATGCTAAATAAATCATAACAAAATGTCTGTTGAAATGTATGCCTGGAGTTACACACAAAAAGGGAAATTCCTACTTCAGAAGCAAATAAAGAGCTAGAAGCTATTTAAAGGAGTGGCTATGACTTTAAACTGGTTTAAAAATAATTAACATAACCTGAAGTAGTAAGTGTTCATCTTGAAAGGACTTAATTTCAAGGCAATATTGCTACAAATTTCTTTTGTTTCCAGGGTAAAGGTTAACCAGCTATTGCCGACAGTCAGTGTGGTCCCTCCTGGCACCCCAGGAGAGGGGCCTATAAGGCTGCTGGTATCTGGAGGTGCCAACTCAGTACTCTCTGCCCCTGGGTCTGTCCACAACCTACTGACAACGCTGCTTTGAACTGGGGACTTTACACTGAGCCAGCTAGCCCTACTCTGGACTTTGATCCCCTTCCTTATCGGCAAGAGCTGGTGCCTCACCCTTTCCCACTCCCCATCCAGCACGGCAGCCCCCAAGCATTTGGGGTCCATACTGTCCTCTACCTTCATCATTCTTCTTTTGAAATTTTTATTTGAGAGAGAGAGAGGGAGGGTGAGAGAGGGACAGAGAGAGCGCACAAGCAGGCAGAGGGGCAGAGGGAGAGGGCGAAACAGATTCACTGCTGAGCAGGGAGCCTGATGCAGGGCTCCATCCCAGGACCCCGGGATCATGACCTGAGCTGAAGGCAGACGCTTAACTGAGCCACCCAGGCGCCCCTACCTTCATCCTTCTTTGATATAATGCCTTATGCTGACCTTTTTAATTCTCAGTTCCTGCTTTCGATCCTTAATCCTATCTACTCACATACTTCGTTTTTCATTTCGTAGCCTTCTGTTGTTTTAACTCAGATTTCCACTTTTCCTGTTCCTACTGATTATTTTCACTCCCTTTTCATCTTTTCTTTTCAATCTCAACTTATTCACTGTTTAAATGTAACATTTTATTGGACTCTTGATTACTTTTACTTTATTTTTCCCTTTCATCCACTTTTCTTATTTTAATATTAAGTAAAGCCTGGTCCTTTATTGCTCAAGTTGTTTTCTTCCTCTTCTCCTGTCAGTCTTCCGCCCCCTCAAAAGCCACCCCCACTCCCATCCCACAGCAAGAACTATGGCCACAAGGGCGGGAGCACCCAAGAAAGCTCCCTCCTGCAAGCTGCCCTTTCAAGTTCCCCAAGGCTCTCAACAAATAAAGAAAAAATAAACCTCACCCCAGAAGACTTGGGAGAACTACAGATTAACACTCCCTAGGGCCACAGTTCTCTCCGCAGAGAGCACATAATTTACTTCAGGGTTTCTCAATCTCAGCAATATTAACACTTTGGCCTGGATCATTCTTTATGTGAGGGCTGTCCTGTGCACTTAGACGCTTCTTGACATCCTTGGCCTCTACCCACCAGATGCCAGTAGCACCCCTCCCAGTCATGACTCAACACCGTGTCTCTAGACACTGCCAAAGACTCCTGGGAGGCATCTCCCCCGCCTCACCCTGCATTAAGAAGCACTGATTTGCCTAAATATTATTTTCTGACATCTCTCATCATCCAGACTTCAAGAAAATCAGGATGTCTTAAAATCCAGGGCCTCAGATCTAATATACAGTGAGAGAAATTAGAATAGTCTTGCCTGGGGGCGGGTGAAGTGTGGGGAGGGGATGGACTTACTGAGAAGAAGCATGAAGGAACTTTCTGGGATGACAGAAATGATCCATACCTCGACTGGGGTATGGGTTACAGAAGGTGTACATACATTTGTTAAAACTCTAATTGTAAGGGGGTGCCTGGCTGGCTCAGTCGTTAAGCGTCTGCCTTTGGCTCAGGTCATGATCCCAGGGTTCTGGGATCGAGCCCCACATCGGGCTCCCTGCTCGGTGGGAAGCCTGCTTCTCTCTCTCCCACTCCCCCTGCTTGTGTTCCCTCTCTCGCTGTCTCTCTCTGTCAAATAAATAAATAAAATCTTTAAAAAAAAAAAAAAACTCTAATTGTAAGATCTGTACAACTTAACATCTATGCATCTCACTGTACGTAAACTATATCTCAAAAAATCCATGCACACCTAAACTGCACCAAGTTCATGCTAAAATATGAGTGGGAACTGGAGGCCAAGGGTGACCCCTAAAGAATCTGACCATGGTAAGGAACCAGGTGCTATTGAGCTTTGCGACGGAAACCCACAGAAGGAGCCTCAGTAACAGGTCCATAGGCAGACAAGCCTGATGCTGATGCACTGCCCAACATCTTGGATGGCTCACTTTTCTTTTTGGCATCAAATGGGGCTCCTCTTGGTGAGAGACTACCCTATCCTGCCTCAGCCAGACCAGATATTATCACAAATGGGGATTCTGGAAGCTGGGCCCCTGCCAGGCGTTAACTGTTACTTGTGAGAGCTCATATTGAGTATTCAGGCCAACCCATTTGATGTCAGAATTTAAGAAGAGAAAGGCTATTTAAAATGGGCACAGATCACCCCACGAAAGTGTGAGAGCAAAAGAGGAGTCAAAGAAGAACCTTCTTCAATCTTCTGTCTCAAGGAAGAAAAAAAACCACTAATCTGGAAGTTAGATGTCTTGAAGAAAGATTTAACCAACTCCAGGGTCTGGATCACTAAATCACTAAAGTTCTGGATTTATCACCTTTTCTCCAATGGACACTTCTGTTGGGTTGCCTTGTGTGAGACTGGAACACAGAGGCATTCCCTCTCCATGAGGGGTCTTGACCCATTATGGTACAAACAGACTGAAAATACCTCCTGGGAAATGAGATCTCCCCTGGACCTTTTCTAATGAGAGCTGGAACCTCTAGGCTGTGCATACCCCTGGCCTAAGCACTCACTGTCCCAAGTAACGGTCCTTGAGAATCTTTGTTTGCGAGGTTCACTCTCTACCCAGGAGAGATGGCTTGGCTCAGAAAATGGGTACATATGCACCTTCCAAGAGCTGATTAGACATGCTCTAGTTCAGATTCGGTAAGTTTGGCTTGATAAACCAAAGTTGAGCCCACTCTGTTAAGAACTGCATCTTCAACTGGTGCTAAGCTACAGCTACAGAATAACTAGATTCAACAGCTTCGTTGCTTTAGATCCAGCCTATCCTCTGGAATGTATCCTTCAGCTACTAGATGCCTCTCCTGGAACTCAGACAGTTGGGGGTCTCAAAAGTAAGGAACCCAATGTGGTGACTTGTCTGAGGTTCTAAATGCAGCTGTAAGAGACCCTCAGTCATAGAGAAAACTAAAACCTGACTGAGACAAAGGTGAGTTGGTGACACTTAGCCTTGCA